AATGCTTAATTGGAGTTAAGTTGCGCAAATTGGGTTTTTCTATCAATTATGGTTTAGGAAAAAAAGAGGATAATGCTTTGCAGTGGTGCAAATTGGAACGCACCCATAAGTTCTTCTAATTTATTTTGTATAGGTCTCTTACCCGTGGCCATAGATTACTGGCACCGAACCATAAAGGGCCATCTTACTGTCGATGATATATTCAAAGACGTCGACATTGTACAATCGGTAAGGATCTGTACCTGATGTAGATTTTAGAGCAAAAGAGTCTGCGTGTTCAGGTATGCCGAATAGAACTTCTGCTTCTGGGAAAGAAAAATCGAGGGCAATAGCCTCAGGTCCGTACGGTTTTGAATCATGATGTGATTTGAAATTCTCTTCCCATGCACCAGGATCATCGATTTCATCAGCCTCCTTTACATCATTGGCTGCAGGGTTTTCTGCATTCTCTCCATCAGCTGGTTGTTGAGGCTTTGGACGCAAATGTTCAAAAGTCATGAGACCCTTAGCATTAACCGAAACGGTAAGAATGTCATTTTGATAGAAATCAACACGGAATGGATCAGCGGTGACAACAGCTTTATTTGGACCTGAAGTAATTGTAAATTCGGTATCACCCTCGTGAACTTTAATGCTGAAAGATTGCCAAGTATAGAATTATATACATTTTATACATTTTATGCTTAAAATACGCACCTTCCAGGCTTCGGTGCTGATTTAAGAGCATCTTGAACTTTGTAGCGAGGCTTCAGGGGAGTTTTCTCATCCACAAGCAATCGAAAGGTGTTGCTCTGCTATTAAGCAATAATGAATAATTTATAGTATGAGTGCACACAATTATTTAAATTTTTTCAAATAATAAATAAACAAATACCTCCAAAGCTTCTAACTTAAGGCTAAACAAATGTTTGTTATCCTTATGTATCAGATCGGCTGTTATGGAATCTGAGTATATATTGAGTGTCCCAGGTACCAAAGCAAATTTAGGATTATCTGGCTTCACTTTGCGGCATCGCCTTTGAGTAATGAATACGAAATGTTAATACTTGCAAAGAAATAAATTCAAATTGTTTACCTGCAAAAACTGCTCTGATCACATGTTTTGAAATTCGTTTGGTCCACGGTCAGCGCATACTCGAATATGCAAAATATTAAAAGAAATATTGCCAAACGCATATTGACGTAGCTGCAGAAATGTTGCAATGATATGTATTACGTAAATTTAAAATTTTGGCAATTAACGTTAAAAAATAAGCAAAAATTAAAGCGTTGAACATGCAAGTTTCTATTATTAGAATTATTAAAAGCGACGACTTTTCACGTCCTCCTTTATTAAATGGTGAAAATAGAATGTAAGGCATGATTCTGATTTATACCAATTTTGATTGCAAACGGCAGCCTTTATTATACATTACATACATGCATACATACGTTACATGAAACTCAAGTATGTTATGTAAAATAAAATTTTTTAGATTAGAAATTGCAGATAAATGTGTGGGAAAATTTTTCATTATGAACCCAACTTTGGAGAAAAGTCGTTAAGTGGATTGGAAGTCTCAGGAGGCTGATAAGCTTTTAAGTATATATACATAAGACGCATAATAGGTACTTTGTATGTATTAAGAGTTGTTAATTTAATTAACTATTAAAGGTGTAATTTAAATATAGAAATAATAAATTCGTCTTATTTTTACCAGTCTTGGCTATATTTCTTTGGTTTATTTCATGTTTAATACTTTTTATTTTATAAAATTTTTGGTAGGTATACAATAAACACCATAAAAATTATAAAAAATTCAACAAATTCTCACCCAAGTTTCAAATTTTTTACTCAGAATTTTTGGGAAAATTTTTTGTTTCCGTTTTAAAGCCCACNCAATAAAATGCTACAAAATACCGTTGATTTATTGCAATTTATTTTTTGGCTGTTCTAAGAATTCTCTTCCATATAAAAAAAAAATTATCGAACAGACTTTGTATGGAAAAAATGCGTGACATCAGCAAAAAAAAAAAATGCCAAAAATCAACGGTATTTTGTAGAATATATATATGTGACCTGGTGTACGGAAAGGGGGCTTAGGTGTCAAAAAAATCAATTTTCACTTTTTGGTTGATTCGGATGGAAGATGAGATGATTTTCACTTTTAACAGCTTTTTCACAGAAAACTTTTTTCGCACGTAAGCTCCCTTTTCGTAGACCAGGTCACATATATTCACTATAGAATAGTGCAGAATAGCAATTTTCAGTATTCTAAGCAAAAACACTTCAATTCAGTACATATACAGTGAGCTTCCAAAATAAGTATACACGAATTTATTTTTATTTTTCATACCAAATAAAAAAATATGTATTTCTGTGTTGTTGTTGTTGTTGTTGTAGCGGCTACAACAACCCCGCCCAGAT